TGGAAGTGCTGGGTGACAATCGACGACCTTTCCTCAGCGTCCTGGCAACTTTGGTTGAAAAGTCCATGTCGATTGAACTTTGTGAGGAGATACTGAACATGGTTGAGGGATGGGTATTCCGATCAGAAGGAACATGGCCAACACTTAAGGAGAAGACGGCTGTTCTTCATAAGATGCTCTCCTTTGAACATCGACAAGACCCAACCATGTTATCCAAGTTCCTGGATCTTGTTATTCGCATCTACGAGGACCCCAAGATTACCCGCACAGAACTGACTGTTCGCATGGAGCATGCATTCCTTATCGGTACTCGTGCAGCGGATGTTGAAATGCGCAATCGCTTCATGGCTATCTTTGACAAGAGCTTATCCAAGTCGGCCAGTGCACGTCTGTCCTATGTTCTTACCTCTCAGAACTGGGACACACTCTCAGATTCATACTGGCTCGCGCAGGCTACACAGCTGCTGCTTGGAGCTGTCGAGACGAACGCCAATATCCAACTATACCAAAACGACTTCAGGACCTTGCCGATTTCTCGCCTGCTCACCATCTTCACGAAGGAGATGGAGGCTCGGGAGCCTACTGTCATTATCGATGACAAGTTCGAATCATTCATGGCTACTCATCGTCGCTTCATGTCGGAACTAGGAGACATCAAGGTGAAGGACGTCATCGAACCATTGGTGCAGCTTCAGCATGTTGATTCCCAACTCGCCCACAACCTTTGGGTAACCCTCTTCCCAATCTACTGGTCATCTGTAGCCAAGGATGACCGAGTTGATCTAGAACGCGGCATTGTTGCTTTGCTCACAAAGGATTATCATAGTCGGCAAATTGACAAGCGTCCTAACGTCATTCAGTCAATCCTCGACGGCGCTGCAAAGACTTGGCCTGAGTGTAAGATTCCACCACATGTCCTCAAATTTGAGGCCAAGACCTACGATGCTTGGTATACTGCCTTGGTTCAACTTGAGAACTCTGCCATTAAACCGCAGGTCGATTCCGCTACGGTACGAGAAAGCAACCTCGACGCTCTTGTCGAGCTTTACGCTTCACTTCAAGAAGACGATCTGTTCTACGGCACCTGGAGGCGTCGCTGTCAATTTGTTGAAACCAATGCTGCTCTGTCGTACGAACAGAACGGCATGTGGGACAAGGCCCAGAAGCTGTATGAGAATGCCCAGATCAAGGCCAGAACTGGTGTGATCCCCTTCTCCCAAGCAGAGTACATGCTTTGGGAGGATCATTGGGTTCTTTGTGCACAGAAGCTGCAACAGTGGGAGATTCTTCAGGATTTCGCTAAGCATGAAAATTTCCAAGATCTCCTTCTCGAGTGCGCTTGGCGGAACACAGAGATGTGGCAGGATGAGCAACACCGCGAGGCTTTGGATAATATCATCAAGGGTGTTATGGACGCCCCTACACCCCGCAGAGCCTTCTTCCAATCTTTCATGTCACTTCTCAAATTTCACAATCAGAAAGAGGCCAGCACGGACTTCGCTCGCGTCTGCGATGAGGCAATTCAGCTCTCAATCCGTAAATGGCACCAGTTGCCCGAGCGCCTGACCAATGCCCACGTTCCACTTCTTCAGAACTTCCAACAATTGGTTGAGCTTCACGACGCCAGTGTCATTTGCCAGAGTCTTGCGAATACCAACCAGACAAACTTGGACGTCAAATCTGGCGAACTCAAATTACTGCTGGGTGCTTGGCGCGATCGACTCCCGAATGTGTGGGATGATATCACTGCTTGGCAAGATCTCGTCACCTGGAGACAGCATATATTCAGCCTCATCAACCAGACGTACCTACAATTGCTTCCTCAACAAGGACAGCAAAACGCCGGTGGAGCTAGTTCGTTTGCTTATCGCGGTTACCACGAGACTGCCTGGATTATCAATAGGTTCGCCCATGTCGCTCGCAAGCATAACCTTCCTGATGTTTGCATCAATCAATTGAGCCGCATTTATACGCTGCCTAATATTGAGATTCAGGAAGCCTTCTTGAAACTTCGTGAACAGGCCAAATGCCATTATGAAAACCCCGAAGAGCTCTCGAGTGGTTTGGATGTTATCAACAATACAAACCTCAACTACTTTAGCCCGTCTCAGAAAGCCGAATTCTACACCCTCAAGGGAATGTTTTTGGAGAAGCTCAAGCAAAAGGATGAGGCCGATTCGGCCTATGGCACGGCGTTATACTTTGACATCGGTGCCGCCAAAGCTTGGGCGGAATGGGGCTACTTCAACGACCGCAAGTTCAAGGAAGACCCGACTGACCTCAATGCGGCACGACAAGCACTGACCTCGTACTTGCAAGCTGCGGGAAGCTACAAGAATGCTAAGTCTCGCAAGCTCCTTGCACGAATCCTGTGGCTCCTCAGCTTGGATGACGCCAAGGGCACGATCGCGTTGGGCTTTGATGACTTCAAGGGCGAAACACCGGTGTGGTATTGGATTACTTTCATCCAACAACTTATCACGGGACTCGGCCACAAGGAAGCTCCTCGTGTTTTCCAGTTGCTGCTAAAGATCGCAAAGTCCTACCCCCAGGCTTTGTACTTCCAGCTTCGAACCAACCGAGAGGATCTTCTCGTTATAAAGAAGAATCAAGAAGCCCGAGACAGAACAGCACGACAACGCGCACAATCTGTGGCATCCAATGGAAAGGCGAGCGCATCACCATCCATGACAAAGCAGGATCCCCCCAGACCTGGCACAGCATCATCACGACCAGGCACTGCAAATGCGGCTGATGGAACCCCGGTCAAGGCGGAGGGTGAAGCGAACGGCAGCAACGCTTCAGGTACTCCCGCACCTACCAACGGGCAAACACCTGATCCTTCGAAGGCCGCACAAAAGGCCACCCCTCAACCTGGACAGCCAGGGCAGCCTCAAAAGAAGCCTCCGTGGGATTACACAGAAGAGGTCATGTCAGTCCTCAAGACTGCTTTCCCTCTGCTGGCCCTTTCAATGGAGACCATGGTGGACCAGATCCAGAAGAACTTCAAGTGTCCCCCTGATGAAGACGCATACCGACTAATTGTTGCTCTTCTTAACGATGCTCTGGCCTACGTTAGTCGAACACCGCCATCTTTCGCCAAGAATGTGAAGCTCCCAGCGGCGACCGAAACCAACATCACTCGTTTTGCTGAAACAATCCTGCCCAGTCACATCAAGAAGTCATTCGAGGCGGATTTCGTTACGGTCAAGCCAACAATGTACGAGTATATCTACAAGCTGCGCCGCTGGCGGAACAAGTTTGAGGAAAAGTTGGATCACCGAATACCTCGCGCCTTTCTTGAAAACTTTTCTCCTCATCTAAGTGAATTTAGGTATGGCAAATTCGATGAGGTGGAGGTTCCTGGTCAATACTTGCAGCACAAGGACAAGAATCAAGACTTCATCCGCATCGATCGTTTCCTTCCAAACATCGACCTTGTTCGATCTATCAGCGCTTCTTACCGCCGTATCAAAATGCGTGGTCATGATGGAAGTATTCACAAATGGGCTATTCAGCACCCTGCAGCTCGACACTGCCGACGAGAGGAGCGCATTTTGCAGCTTTTCCGGTCGCTTAACCAAACATTGGGCCGCAAGAAGGAGAGCCGACGTCGTGATTTGCAGTTCACGATACCAATCATGGTTCCTTTTGCACCTCATATCAGACTCGTGCAGGAAGATACATCCTACACTACACTACAGGGAGTATATGAGGATCATTGTCGAAACATGGGCATGTCGAAGGACGACCCTGTGCTATTCACTATGGAGAAGCTTCGTGGAGCCCTCGAGAGCAAGAGCTCTGTAAGTTGCCAGACACCAACATGGTTTCGCAGTAACTAACAATAAACAGAACAAGCCTGAGCAGGCAGCGACAGCTCGGTTGGAGGTATTCAACGCGATTCAGGAGAAGTGGGTGCCATCAACAGTGGCAATAGAGTATTTCCAAAAGGTGTTCCCACAGTTTGCCGAGTTCTGGCTATTCCGCCGCCAGTTCTCGTACCAGCTTGCGGCGTTGACATTCATCACGTACATCATGTACATGCACAACCGATACCCACAGAAGATCAACATATCAAGGGCGACGGGTAAGGTTTGGGGGTCTGAAATGATGTCTTACATGAGCGCCAACAAACCCTTCTTCCACAACCCTGAACCGGTGCCATTCCGACTCACGCCTAACCTTCAAACTCTGATGGGACCACTTGCCACTGAAGGTATCTTTGCATGCTCGCTGATGGCCATCGCGCGATGCTTGACGGAGCCTGAATACGAACTGGAGCACGCCTTGACGCTTCTCGTGCGTGATGAGATGCTGTTCTGGTTTACTGGCAGCCACAGGAATGGAGTAATTACAGAGGGCCAACTTCGAGATTCTGTGCAGGTCAACAGTGAATCGATTGTTAAGCGGGCACTCAGCCTAGCGCACAGCCCTGTTGGTAACCTGCCTGCGAACCAGACAGTGATTGACGCCATCGCCAAGGCAGTCAATCCTATGAACCTGGCACAGTGCGATGCGCTGTGGATGCCATACCTGTAAGGAGCAGGTTAATATTTATACTTGGAGGAAAATGAGAATAGATGGGTGTGCAGATGGCTGGCATGGTCTTGGGACTTTAAGCATGGCGTTGGGGGTTTTTGAGAGAGCGTGTATCTTGTACGATGCTACAGGGAGGGCAGATATGACCCCAAAATGGTGAAGATGTAATATCCTAGCATGAAGTAGCAGTTTTTGTCTTGCTATCAAATTTTAGCAGCTGAGAGTTTGTAATTTCTACTCTACTTAATTATGCAACTGTTCACTGGCATGATGGTGAGAATGTGCAATGGTGATCTTGAATCTCAACACCAGCCAACCAAAGATGGTGACAGAGTTGCAGGGTTCCCCACAAGCCTCGGCTCGGAACAGGAGCTTATTAGCTTCCTGTCATGCAGGTATAGACGAGATCGACAAAGTTTCACAACCTATCTCAGTCCAAGTTAGGTCATAGCTGAAAGGACGAATATGTCGGGGACGGAACCCCGCACGATAGAGCACGGCAGAGGCGTTGCCGCGTCGGTCAAGTTACCTCGGACATTTATCTTGGAGTATTTAATGCAGTCTCTTGTGGTCACCGTAGTTCAGTCCTTGGTCTCTATCTATCATTTGAGTTGGTTCTAAGAAGCAACGTTTACAAGACTGAAATACATATTACAATGGATCTAACAAAGACACCTCGAAAGGTCTGGGAACACCCCAATCCCAAGAGCACGGCGATGTGGGCATTTATGCAAGAGGCAAACAAATTACATGGACTTAATCTCAAGGTATGATATGGATTTAAATGTGTGAGCCATGTTATAAACAACTAACACGCCTTAGACATTCAACGACTTATACCAATGGTCCGTCTCTAAGCGCAGCGACTTCTACGCTCAACTCTGGGCCTCTCAAAACTGGATCCACGAGGGTTCCTACTCATACGTCGTAGACGAATCAATCCCAATCACAAAACTTCCCGCTTGGTTCCCAGGTATTCGCATCAGCTACGCCGAGAATCTCCTCTGGACACGTGCCATAGGCGGTGCACCAGGCGAGCGCTCAACGCTTCACAAAGAAGATGATACTATCGCTATCACAGAAGTCAGAGAGGGTAATTCCTCCGTGAAGAATGTTACTTGGGGAGAGTTGAGGAGAAGAGTGGGAGAGCTGGCGAGTGCGTTGAAGCAGAGAGGTGTTCAGAAGGGAGATAGAGTCGTTATGGTTGGTGCTCATGCTGTTGAGACACTTGTTGTATTTCTGGCTGCAACTTGGCTTGGGGGGTTATTTAGCAGTAGCTCGACGGATATGGGCGTTGGAGGGTTGTTGCAGAGGACTGTTCAGATTGACCCCAAGGTGAGCTCTTTGATACTACTAAACTTATGACAATACTAACCTAGATAGTTTGTCTTCTTTGATGATGGGGCTCTTTATAATGGAAAAGTTATCGATCTTCGCGATAAGATCGAGGGAGTTGTCGAAGGAATGAAAGAATGCCCTTCTTTCCAAGGCGCCATCATCGTTCAACGTTTCGACTCTCCTCACGATACTTCTCAAATCCCCAAGACACAACGTCTCGAGTCTTTCCTCTCATCCGCACCTTCAACTCCACCGCCCATCGAAAGAGTTGGCTTTCAAGACCCAATGGTAGTCTACTATTCCTCCGGAACAACAGGAACACCAAAAGCCATCGTCCACGGCGTTGGTCCAATTCTCGTTTCAGTGGCTAAAGAGGCTATTCTTCACCGCGAAATCACCCCCAAGGATGTTGCGCTTCAGTATACTACTACAGGCTGGATCATGTATCTTGCTAGCGTTACTCGACTTGCTTTTGGTGGACGAACTGTGTTTTATGATGGTTCGCCTTTTGTACCAGACCGTTCTGTGCTGTTACGGATCGTAGAGGAGCAGCGTGTTACGAATTTAGGAATTAGTCCAAGATGGCTGGGTGAGCTTATGAAAGAAGGAATAGTTCCTCAGAAAGAGGCAGATCTGGGTAGTCTGACGGCTGTTCAGAGTACGGGAATGGTGTTGAAGGAGCAGGTCTTCGACTGGTTCTATGATGGGGCGTTTCCAACGAATATCAAGTTGGCCAACTTTTCGGGCGGTACAGATATTGTGAGTCTCCTATCCAACGTCTTCTTACAATTGCTGACTTTACCAAGGCTGCCTGCTTTGTCATGGAGAATCCTCTATCTCCCATCTACGCCGGTGGATGTCCAGGGCGAGTTATTGGAACACCGATGGCAATTTATCCATCTTCTCCAGACCTTGACAAACCGATCTCACCGGTTCCTGATGGTGAACCGGGAGACTTGGTCGGAACTGCAGCGTTCCCCAATGTCCCTCTCTATCTCTGGAACGATACAACTCCCGCTCCAGGAAAGAAGTACACTTCAGCATACTTTGATCGATTCCCCAATGTGTGGTCACAGGGCGACTTTGCAGCAGTTCACCCACAAACAGGTCATATTCACATTCTCGGCCGCTCAGACGGAGTTTTGAACCCCAGTGGAATTCGATTTGGAAGTGCCGACATCTACGCTGTGCTTGAGGGAAGCTTTGCAAAGGAGGTTGCAGAGAGTCTCTGCGTAGGCCAGCGTCGACCTCAAGACCATGACGAGAGCGTTGTTTTGTTCCTGCTGATGAAACCAGGAGTCAAGTTCAACGCTGAACTCGCCAGTAGGATCCGAGAGAGGATCGCTAAGGAGTTGACGAAGAGGCATGTCCCCAAGTATATCTTTGAGGTGCCTGATATTCCAGTAAGTATTTGCCCCCACAACTGATAATGTGCAGTAAACTAATGATGTTTAGACAACTGTGAACGGTAAGAAGGTCGAACTTCCAGTCAAGCAGATCATATCGGGCAGCAATATCAAGCCAAGCGGGACGTTGTTGAACCCTCAGAGTCTGGACTTTTTCTATCAGTTCCAGAAGATTGAAGAGATCGATCAAGTTAAAGCAAAGTTGTAGAGATACTAGATAAACATGGGGTATACAAAGACAATACAAGTTACAAATCCTCCTCCTTCTTGGGAAACTTGCCCCCATTCACACCAAATCTCCAAGCCATCCATGCCAAAGCTCCCCCCATACTTCCCAGTCCCAGTCCTCCAACCGCACCTCTCCAGCCCTTTAGAGCATTGGCCCCTATCAAAGCCCCAGCTCCAGCGCCTATAGCAGTCCAGTCATCAGTCTCAAGCTGACCTCGGTTCTCAAGTAATCTCCAACTTCGATCCTGCCACTCAACTTCTTCTCTTCCACGCATACGACTGATTGTCATGAGAGCTCCTACACCAACCGCCGCGACTGCGCCTGTTGATGCAGAGCGGATGAGACGTGGGAAGAATGTTAAAGTTGGAGTTTTTGGGCGGAGAAAGGGGACGAAGTGGCGTGTTGTTGTTATGCCCGTTGCGATGATTGAGCTTAGTGTTATCGCTCGCGCGATAACGTGTGTTGTGAGTATTGTTCGTGCAAGAGGCTGATCCTCTGCATAGGGAGTATGAGGAAAGAATCGTGACATTTTATTTGTTGTTCTTGTTTGTAACAACAAGTAAATAAAGAGTGAAGAGTATCGGATATTGTATAAGCTGACGTCCAATGCTTTGTTCTTATATACATTCTACGCCGCGTCATATCATCAAGCCACTTCCACTTTCAGACGCCAAAAGGCACTCGCTCTTCTTTCAGCTCCGTCTTTCCATCGACCATGATTGCTTCAGGGATTTGATTGAATAAGCACCCCGTTATTGGTTCCCCGATGCGACGGCCCGGATGGATTAACGTGCCGGTTACTCCACCAGAGCTTATTTTACGGATATTATGCGAGATCCGAGTGCGAGATAATAATTCAGTACTACCTAATTGATTAGTGATATCATATACAAAATATCATACATTGTCGCTTCTCATACGGAGGAGATAGAGTATGCTCATACACTCACTAACTCAAAACCATGTCATGTTCCCCAATGCGTATCATACCACCAACGCCTAGACCTATCCCAATCATATGATAATCTCCCCATCCCAATGCTATGCTTGCTATGCCTTCTGGGTCTACTCTCTGGTATCCTTATTCATCATCGCTCATCTCCATCATACTGCCCTCCTTCTCAGGCGAACCGTCCTCGTCCTCCAAAACCGTCATTCGTCTTGTTCGTCGCAATCTTCCCTTACCCTTCTCCGTCCTCCCTGCTGTTTTTCGACCCCCGTTGACCTTGACGGCTGCATCATGCTTCCGTTGTCCCAACGTGCGCTCAAAGTCCAAGAGGTCCTCAGCTTCAGACTCTGCCGCACCATCAATCAATGCCGTCTCTTCTAGCGCTTTGTTCAACAACTCTGTTGCGATACTGTCCTGCGGATTGATCGCCAGCGCTTCATGAAGAACGACCACCGCCTCCTCAGGCTTGCTCTGTTCCATGAGAATAAGCCCTTTCGCGCTGAAAATGGCCGCATCCTTGCCTCCTTGTCTTAGCACCTCATCAAACTCGGCGAGCGCTCGGTTAAAGTGTCTCAACCGTCTGAAAGCGTGACCAAGATTTGTCCTCGCAGCCAACCAAGCCGAAGGGTCGCTATCCATATCGTCAGCGATCTTAAGCGCTGCTGTAAAGTACTGTGCTGCCTCCTTGGGTTTGTCTTGGTGATATTTCACGATACCCATTTCGTTCAAGAGTAAGGGGTCCGTTTTGCAAAGGCCATAGGCTGTTTTCAAAAACTCCTCCGCAAGTGTCATATTGTTGAGAGCGTGATTTTGCATGCCCAAAAAGACTTGGGGTAAATGTGTTCCCATGAATAATCTCGCTGCTGTCGAGTAGGCCGAAATTGCTTGATCGTGTTCGCCCTCTGCCGCAAAAGTGTGTGCGAATCCAATCCATGCCGGTCCAAAATGCGCGTCCATCATACTCGCTTTGCTGAAATATCGTCGTGCCTCGGGGATTTTGCCAATCGAAAAGTAGTAAATACCAACTGCGAGCCACGAACATGGTTCTTCAGGGTGACTATCAGCCAGGTCGTGGGCAATCAAGAAAAGGAGATTCTTCTCTTTCAGCTCAAACAAACAGGCCAGATGGACCGGGTACACACTAAAGTTGTACTTATCTTCCTGTAGGATCCCATTTGTGATATTCAGAGCATCCCGGTACCGACATTGCGTATAGAGAAGATCCGCACGAGCAAGCTGTAGGTCTGGATTTGATGCAAGGTGGTAGTGTGTCGAAAGAGAGTCGTATGCTGTCTCAAAGGCTGCAGGGTTGCGGTATTTGGACAGTCGCGTCGTGTAGAGCATCTTAGTAAAGTCGGCAGCCTGCTGTGAAGACGACACATCTCCAGAGACATGAATGGAATCAAAGTCCAGGCTCTCAAGGAACTGCCATTCTTCGTCAGGCGACAATAACGAATTGTTCATAAGCTGCTGGAACGCCTCAAAGCACTGGACATCGATTCGCACAGCGTCTTTGTAACACTCCTTCGCGCGATCAAAAGCGTTCTGTTTAGCGTAGCAGATACCACGCAGAAAACACATAGCAGCTTCATATCTCCTATTAGCAGCCTCCTCCTCAGCAGCTGGATCGCGACGTCGTCCATGGCGTGGCTGAGTCTTGCGCTTGTTACTCGCGCCGTTGGCAATGAGATGCGTTGGGTTGCGATCGCCGAGAATCGAAAGGGCTTCGTCGAAGCGAGACTGTTTTATAAGGCAGTGACCGGCGAGATAGCGACATGATGGGTTTCTGGCGATGAGGTCTTGGCTGGAGAGAAATGCTTGGGCGCGTGTGTAGTTTCCTGTCGCGAAGTGGACTTGGGCGAGCCAGAAGGCGTCTTGATCGTCATCTATCGAGATGTATTGTTAGGCAATGGAAAAGAGGTTGTTTATATCAGTATATCACGAACTAGTCAGTGCAAGTAACTTGTCGCCGATAAATATGGCCGACTCATATTGCGCCTTGTTGAGGGCATCTTGCCTCCATTCCCTCAAGAAATTCTCCATTCCTAATTTATTCGCAGTTCATTGAGTGCTGTGCCCAATCGTCAGGTATTCGCTTTATGTGTGGCTCGGCGTGTTGCGATATGGGGTTGGTCTTGAGAATGGAGGTGGTTTGTTTGGAATAACGTCAAGCAACATCCCACCAAAAGTCAACAATGAATCTAATCTCACCGCAAGCCCGCCCAGCCGTTGTTCGCGCCTCCACTAGAGCCTAGCGTGTGAAGGGCGTTCTAAGAAGCCACAGCGGGCGTGCCTCCAGCAACGGCGGGGTAGCTTACAGCGACCATTGCCTCTGTCAGAGGCGATAAAAAAGTTGGCGGGGTTGAATTTGTAGCGTATCAGAAGCCATCAATTTGGCACTCGCCGATACAGGAGCCCGTCATGCAGTCAAGTTTTAAAAGTCTACAACTACCTGAGAAACATTCAATTGTACAACTATACCAGTCTACTCGCAGAAATGGCTTCTTCTCAACCTACTCGATGGGCTGCTCTCGCCCGTGATACGAACGAGACCAAGATTCAGCTTGCTCTTAACCTTGACGGCGGCGATTTCCCTCCGGACACTGACTCCCGTCTTCTCAACGATGGAGATAGCCATGCTTCTCAGGCTAGCAAGTCGCAGAAGATCGCTGTCAACACAGGAATTGGTTTCCTTGACCATATGCTTCATGCTCTAGCTAAACATGCTGGATGGAGTCTTGCTCTGAACTGCAAGGGTGATCTTCACAGTTCGTTGCCCTTCAACCGCCACAGAGGGATGTCAAATGACTGACTTGATATCTCTAGTTGATGACCACCACACCGCCGAAGATGTCTGCATCGCCCTTGGTTATGCCTTCGCCCAGGCTCTCGGCACTCCTGCTGGTCTCGCCCGTTTCGGCTACGCCTATGCTCCCCTTGACGAGGCCCTGTCTCGCGCGGTCATCGATCTTTCCAACCGTCCCTACAGTGTTGTTGACCTCGGTCTGAAGCGAGAGTGGCTTGGCCAGCTCAGTACCGAGATGGTACCTCATTGTCTCCAGAGCTTTGCCCAGGGTGCTCGTGTTACGCTGCATGTTCACTGTCTTCACGGTGATAACGACCACCATCGAGCCGAGAGTGCTTTCAAGGCTCTTGCTGTTGCTATCAAGGCTGCTACCACGAGGATACCTGGTAAAGAGGGTGAAGTGCCTAGCACCAAGGGTACTCTGAGTGCGTAAGGGAATAGTCGCTTAGGAGTTCCGGATAAATACTTGGTTTTGGTTAGAACTAGACCTGCTATTGATAGGAATGCAGGAATCAGATTTTGAGATATAAGTGAATATATGACCTATGTCACATAGCAGGCTTCTGGAAATATTTACAATGCGTTGCCTGGCATGTCTCCTCAAGACCCTGCATACCGCATTCGTTACGCATCCATACAAGATATCTTGAAAATCATATCAAAATTCACAGGTCGGCTCATGTAGACATGCAGTTCAGGCTATATTTTTGATAAGATCGTCAACTCCTTCTTGGCAACCCTCAAGTTCGGTAGTCACCATTGATAGTGACATAGTCATGGCTGAAGTCGCAGGTATAGTGCACAGCAGACTTGTCGCCTGTACCTAACTTGACAACGATCTCAAGATCTTCCATGGCGAGAATCTCCGATGCTCGCTTCTCGTCGACCTGCTCGGGCTCGCCGTCCACGAGCAGCTTCAGCTCAGCTGAGCCATCGGTAGGGACGAAGGAGACATTGGTGCGCTCGGGAGTAATCTCAGGAACGTCATTCACAGGTTGACCAGGAGGAGAAATGAGAGCATATCCGGTGGCGCAAAGGACACGGCCCCAGTTGGCATCTTTTCCGTACAGAGCAGTCTTAACGAGGGGGGATTTGGCGATGGATCGACCAATCTCACGGGCTGCCTCCTCAGAAGCACTGTCGACGACACGGATGGTAACAAATTTGGTAGCACCCTCACCGTCTCGGACGACATACTTGGCCAAGTCAACAGAGAACTCGGTGAGGAGCTTCTGGAAGGCTTGGTAGTCTGGAGACTGCTCAGAAGTGACCTCCTTTCCGCCAGCGGCACCGTTAGCAAGAAGAGCAACAGTATCATTGGTAGAAGTGTCACCATCAATGGTGATGGAGTTGAATGACCGGTCCACCGCATGTCGAAGAACATTGGGCATGACATCAGGGGAGATAGGAGCATCGGTAGCCAGGATGGTAAGAAGAGTCGCCATGTTGGGGGCAATCATGCCTGCACCCTTTGTCATACCAGCAATGCGGTACTCAACGCCTGGAGAAGAAGGAAGCTCAAAGGATCGAGACATGAGCTTAGGGAAAGTATCTGTGGTACAGATAGCTTTTGCACATTCAAGCCAATTCTCATGAGAACCACCAGCCTTGCTAACAGCTGTGGGGATCTTGTCGAGAATCTTCTGAATTGGCAGCCTGGATTAATTGTGAGCCACTGAAGCATCAAATTCAGCCAATCGAAGAAACGAACCTCTGACCAATTACTCCAGTGCTCATAACAATAGTAGAGTCCTCATCACCAACCCTCTGATCTGTCGTGCGGGCCATACTGGTAGCATCTTCAAGACCTCCGGTGCCGGTGACAGCATTCGCATTACCAGAATTGACAACCACACTTCGCAGGCCCGCGTTCTTCTTCTGTTGCAAAAGTTTCCTGCTATAGGTCACAGGAGCAGCCTGGAACTTATTCTTTGTGAAGACACCAGCAGCGGCGCAGGGACGATCAGAAGTGACGAGGGCGATGTCGGGCTTGCTGGTATTGCCAGGCTTGACACCAGCCAAAACACCTGAAGCGATAAAGCCTTTGGGGTATTTTCCTGAAGTAGGAATGTATTGAATCTTTGAAGGAGGAACAGGGTTTGAGCCGAGAGTGGCTGACGCCGAAGAGTAGGCGCGAGCGAATTTCTTCATCATCTTGGCGACTGAGGATTGTATTGTTGATGCTGTAGTTGATGGGAATTTTCGCTGGGGTTTGATATAGAACTGTATGCTACCTACTTAGTGCGGTATCGCAGCGATCAGTGGCTGGGAGTACCCAAAAGACTCCATTGACTCATTTATGACCAGTTCTTTGATTATTTCATTTCTCCTTAAGTTTTTATATATTAAATTAATGACAAAGTAGGATATTGCAAGAAGCGACGGCTCATGTGAAATCTCATTCTCTTGAAGTGAGAGTCTGACTGAGATGAGCCTACTTAGTAGGTAAGGTAGTGAGTTATATGTACTTGGTATGGATGCCAGACAATCAGCCACCAATAGAGTGCATACTCTCAAGAACCTGAATAAAGGAATTTCCTTATTATGGACCGGGCGAGTCTGTGGAGGTAATGGAACTTGTAGTAAGTCGAAAGTTCCGTTAATCAGCATCCAGTGACAAGCGCGAGTCCACAGTGCTCTCCCATACAGGCCCAGGGAAGCAAGAAAACGTCAGACTCTAGAAGAAGATGCGAAAATAAACTTATTAAATAGGCCCCTAAGTTTGCTCAAATTCTTTTGTCATTGAGGATTGAGGTCCTACGTTTTATTCCTCCCTTATCTCGTAGATAGGACATCTAGTAAGAAGCTTTGTTTATAATGGGAATCCTTTAACTACCTTGATCGTAGGTCCTCCTGGAGCACTAAACCTTATATCTTTTTGATATTTACGTTTATCGCCACGGGCAAATATTAAGCTGAAGAAAGTCCAGATGACTCTAGGTATAGACAGCTCAAGTTTGTTGATTAGCGAGCGAGTAAGTCAACCTGGAATTCTACCTTAAATAAAAGGGAGGTAGGCAACGAAACCGAATGTTCACATGAACAAATTGCAAAGCTGTGACTGCCAATCTCATGCCAAGAAGGTTCACACAGCCGGAGCAACTACGATCAAGGTTTGGCAAAGAACGCAAGGTACAGGTATGCTGAAGTAATTGTTGGATATGGTTCGCGAAATGCGCTCCGGGGGGGGGGTATTGTTGATCGAATCAATTCCCGCAGGAGCTCATCTCGAGGGTGCAGAAAAACAGCTGGAAATCTTGATCCTGAGCGAGAAAGAGCAGTGAGATGAAGCCACAGGTAAGGTAGCCCAGCCATTTTGACATGGAATTTATTCAATACCGTACTGTAGGCACAGCCAATCGATGGTGTCGCGTGCCTGCGAGTGTAGGATAGAGTGTGCCTGCCTGCTGGGCTGGAAATTAAGCTGCTGCTGCCTCTGTTCCTGCCTGCCAACAGTGGAACCTTCCGCTGGTGCCTGGAAATTAGAGCTCCACCTTCCTGTAATTCGCGCTCAGATTGGCCTTGATGCCTTAGGTAATATATCGAAGTGGTCCGTGCGCGAGTGATCTCTCCCAGCTATAAGAGCCCGACTTCCTCCCACCCTTTCAGTCTTCTTTTTTCCTTTCCTCTCCATCCAAGTGCATGGGCGTTTTCCTTCTCCGTGAAGCGATAAGCTGAGAGAGGAATTTTGCTAGTTGAAAACTATACACTGACCGCTCCTTGTTGGGTTCGCCTGGCAAGGGAATTTTTGGAACTCTTTATTTTCTTTCATTGCGACCAGTTCTTGATGGACTGCCGTGAAGAAGGAAGCTCGTGACTGATTCATTGCCTCGTATCAGCTTCTGTTGAAGCCAAATGTGATGCCTCGCGTCAACTGTGAAGCTGATCTGCCCAAGGTGACGATGCCTTCATCCTCCCAAACCTCCACGTCAAACTGAGCACCTCTTGTGGAACTCATTGTAGCGTGGTGCTGCACCGTTTAATGCTTAACATTTTCCTTCGGCGCATTGTGATGTCAAAATGCGACGCGATGTGAATACTGTTGCGCGTGCGACCTTGAATAGAACTGGTGTTCGCGAAAGAAACGACATGGAACTGACGAATACACAAGGATACCAAATAATAGCTTCATTATCTATAATAAACTTATCACATTCTGCAACCACCTTGCACCTATTGAGTGACATTCTACGTAGTAATCTAGAGGCTCTGCTGGACTTCCAACTGCCACACCCACACCTCTTGGTTTGGCTAGCGCGGGGCATTCGATCACTGATTGGATTTCTCCATCCAAATGCCGGTCCAAATCATTATTTTCGAATGACTCAAAGCCTCCATTCGAGTGTCCCTCGCTACAAACGGTACCTTTACTGTACCATCTTCTACAGAAATAACGAGTATTTTCCAGTGAATCACACGAGTCCGTAACGAATCTTCTACGCAAGTTGTATCACAGCGCACACTCTTTCTTGTCTTGATCTCTGAAAGTCTGGGAGTGCCCCGCCCTCGGATAACCACATTCTCGATATCACCACAAAAGATCGCTCGAACCAGTTCCAATGTCCACAGAAGCCGAGGGCTCGGTCCCTGCGCCGCAGACCACAGAGAATAACGATGTTAAGACGGAGAAGAAGGAGCAGGCCCAGCCTCAGAAGCCCAAAGAGCAGCAACAAGCAGCGCCCGTTGGCGAGAAGAAGTTATCGGGCGCTGAATTAAAGAAGAAGGCCAAGGAGGAAAAGGCTGCCAGAAGAGCACAAGCCAAGGCTTCGCAGGCTTCACAGGGCCCATCGCAAGGCGGTCAACAGGCGTCCGGTGATGGGAAGGGAGGCAAAGCAAAGCCTAAGCAGGACGGGCAGCATCAGCACCAGCAACATGGCGGCGCAAAACTCCCTATTCGACCAGCGGCAGCGACGGCTGTGGTTAAGGACGACAAGCCTTCGATACCAGACTGCTTTAGCCACCTCTCTATGGCTAGGCGGATAGAAATGACAAATGCCGACAAGGACGTCCATCCTGCTGTCTTGGTTCTCGGCGAGCACATGAGCGCATTCGCTATCAGTGATAGTGTCACACGACTCGAGGCGACGCTGTATGCTTTCCAGAAGGTCAGAAATTCTGCCCCTGTGATGTAGTATTGATCTAACAGCCCCAGGTCATCGACTCTTACACAACTCCTCCCGGCTTCACTTTCTCCCGCCATTTCACACCTCACGTTCTCAACCCCCAGATCGAGTACCTCACAGCATGCCGCCCCATGTGCTTCTCAATGGGCAACGCCATCCGGTGGCTGAAGCTCCAGATCAGTAAAGTGGATGTCGATCTTCACGACAACGACGTGAAGAAGCTCCTCAAGGAGTCCATTGACAACTACATTCGTGAGCGTATCACTCTCGCAGACTACGTGATTGTCGAGACTGCTGCCAACATGATTGGGCATGGCGATGTTGTACTCACCTACGCTCATCACCACCTCGTTGAGCGCACTCTTCTCCAGGCTCGCAAGAACAAAACGGACTTCCGCGTGATTCTTGTCGATGATCCTTATGAGCGCGTCGGCATCGATCTCGCCAAAAGGCTCTCCGCCGCTGGTATCCAAGTCACCTATGCTTCCGATCTTGGTGCTCTGCGAACACACCTCTACGAGGCAACTAAAGCTTTCCTCGCAGCCGAAGCCATCTTCAGCAACGGTGCCATGTACGCCCGCGCCGGCTCATGCGATATCGCCACGGCAGCGACTGATCTGAACGTCCGCGTTGTGGCACTCTGCGAGACAGTCAATTTCACAGAGCGTGTATCTATCGACTCTCTCACTTACAACGAAATCGACCCTGAGCGATCCACCGATGTTGGCTTCCGCTTGCTGTTTGACACTACACGCGATAAGTATATTTCAGTGGTTGTGACGGAGCTGGGCAATTCCTCTGCCACGTCTGTGCCTGCGATTCTAAGAAAATTAGAGGAGTTGTAATCAGACTTGGATTGGGTTAAAGGAGCGTGGAAAAGACTATCAGGGATGATAGATGACGCGGCGTCTTGAATTGTCATTCTTGTTAAATCGGTCTTGGCTGGTGCTGGAATTAGAAGCAGCTCTATGAGGCAATGACAATAAGTTTTTAATTTATTGCGTGTGGTATAACATGACATGAGTTCAATCTGGTGATCAATATCGGGTTCCGTGAAGCAATTGGCGTTCGGTGTTCTGGACATCATATCATCACAGCGTTCAGAGCTTTGGCGTATTAGATTCGAATCAAACGTCCCATTTCGACGCTCAACCTCCCAATATCACAATGTACAATAATATCGCCTCTTCAATCTTCTTCTCTCAAGCCGAAGAGGTCTTCATTTCCCGATATCTTAAATTTCCATTCCT